CAGCTCTTCTGTGGAGTTGGTACATGTACGTAACACATCCCAATTCCGTTTTTTGTTATTGTTTATCCCTCCCCCATCTCTTGATCCCCTTCCCCTGTGAGAATAATCTAGCTTCCTACTTCGTATTATCAGTGTTTTATTTTGCCCTTTATTTTTACTCTGGGTGTTTCATATAAAAGATACCATGTGATATTTAAGCTTGTGTTTCTGATTTATTTCATTCAACTTTATAGTCACAAAATGTTGCAGAAATCTCGGAAAGAAATACACAAAGACCCAGAATTCGGATAAAATAATAAAATTTCTTCTCGCGAGCAGACGCGGGGGGGGGGGGGCAGAAACTAGTCTGGTCCGTATCCCCGCCCCCTTTGTTCAGGGTTTCCCTTTTTATATCCTTTTTAGCCATTATATCATCCCTAGTGGTCTTTGATATGTAAATATAATTCCTGTTCCTATTTACAAGTCACAGACACAAGATAGGCCATATACATTGTAAATTCACCCTAGCATGGTAACTTTGTTAGGTTAATGAAGTTACTGGTTAGAGTCAGATAATCCTCACCTTAAACAAGGAGTTACAGGAAAAGCAAATCTTAAAAGAACACATTACTTATTTTGCTTCTACAACTACCTTAATATTCAATCTATTAAGTTACCTAAAACTTTTCCATATCAAAGGTGCATCCATTGTCCTACAAAGGACTCAAGTTTATCTTTCTTTATGGCAAAGTAGTACTTCACTGTGTGTGTCTTAGTTACTTTTCTCACTGCTGAAACAAAATACCTGACACTTGAAGTTAAAGGAAGTTAAAGGTTAAAGATTAAAGGTTTATTTAGCTCACAGTTTGTAGAGATTTTAGTTCATAGTTGGCTGGCTCTAGGCATGGTGGCAGGGCAGAGGGGCATCACAGAGGAGAACGTTTATGGCAGGCAGAAGACAGCAAAAGCAAGCAAGTAACCAGCGACAAGACACTTTTTGTCCCTTATATCTTATCCAGGCTACCTGTCCTTAGGGTGGGTAGCACTCACACCCTTAATCCTAGTGCACTTAATCCTACCATTGCACCACTAATCGTGTCCTTAATCCCAGCAGAATGATGCTAAACCAATCAGTAGGACTAATTTAGTAATCACGCATTCTAAATCCAGTCACCTCTAACAAGCCTCACCTATGACTGCATGTAAATACCATATTTTCTTTATCCTTTTTTCTGTTGATGGACATTATGGGCTTCTTCCAAGATGTAGCTATTAGGAATTGTGCTCCTGTAAACACAGGTATGCATGTATTACTATAATATGATCTTTTAACTCAGGAAGATACCTAGATGGTGAATACCTGTGTCAAATGAAATTTCTAGTTTCAGGTTTTTGAGGAATCTCTATACTGATTTCCATCATTACACTGGTTTATATTCCCACCAACAGTGTAGAAAGGCTCCTTTTTTCCCCACAGCCCCTCCAACATTTGTTATTGCTTTATTTTATTTTATTTTATTTTATTTTTTGGTATCAGAGATTGAACTCACAACCTTGCGCTTGTGAGGCAGGCGTGGTACCACTGAGCTAAAGCTCTGCCCGATTATTTGATTTCTTGATGATGGCGGATCTTCCTGGAGTAAGATGGAATCTCAGTGTTGTTTTAATTTGCATTTTCTAATGGACTGAGATGTTGAACATTTCTTCCTATGTTTATTGGCCATTGTACTTCTTCTGAGAAATGTCTTTTAATTTCACTTGACCATTTTTTTTTTTTTTGGTTCTAGGGATCGAACTCAGGTCCTTGCGCTTGTGAGGCAGGTAGTGGAACCACTGAGCTAAGTCCCCGGTCCTTGCTCATTTTTTGTGTGTGTGTGAATTTTTTGTCTTTTGTTTGTTTGTTTGTTTTTTGGTACCGGGGATCGAACTCAGGTTCTTTGGCTTTGGAGGCAGGCGGCAGCACCACTGAGCTAAATCCCCAGCTCACTTGCCCATTTTTTGATTGGGTAGAACTTCTCTTTTTAAAATCACTGACCCTTCTAAGTTGGTTAGGGGAAAAAATTAGAAGTGAAAAAGCAATAGCTGTTACTTTGCAGATAACTTGAAAGTTTGTCCTGTTTTGAAACTAATGAAATGTTAGGAGATGCCCTTTTACAGGTTTCTCTTAAAGGCTTAAGAGACAAACATTTTTCTTTTTTAATTTAAAAAAATTTTTTTAAATTAATTTTATTGGTACACTTTTAATATACATAATGATCACATTCATTGTAGGGAATTTGTACCTGTACATGACATGTCTGGATTCTTCTTTATTTCCCCATTCCCCTCCCCTCCCATCAACCTTTATTCTCCTCCTTATTTAAAATAACTGTTTCATTTTTTCCCCTTCTATCCTTTTTTTCCCCTTTTCCCCTTCCTTCATGTCCTCCTGTTCCTCTTCCCATTTGAACATGTTCTTCCTGATACCCAGTATCTATTGCACATTTTGGTTCTTATTTACACATTTGGTTTCTCACACAAGAGAATCAATGCAATATTTAAACATATGTGTCCAATTTATTTCATTTAAAAGTACAGTCTCAAAAGTGTGTCCATTTACCTAAAAATGTCTCAAGTTTATCCTTCTTTTTTTTTTTTACCCTCCCCTCCCCTCCAATTTTTTCTTTCTTTATCCAGAGTAATACTCCACTACATATAAAAACCACATTTTCTTTATCCATTCATCCAGTGGTGGGCATCTGGGCTGTTTCCAAGATTTAGCTATTACAAATTGTGCTGCTATGAATGTGAGTGTGCATATATCATCGTGGTATGATGCTTTTAATTCTTTTGGGAAAATGCCTAAAAGGGGCATAGCTGGATCAGGTTTTGAGGACTCTCCATACTGATTTCCATATTGGTTGCACTAATTTACACTCCCATGAACTGTGGAGAAGCATTCCTTTTTTGCACAGCCTCAACAGCACATTGATTGATGTGTTGATGATAGCCATTCTTTCTGGACTGAGATGGAATCTCAGTATTTTAATTTGCATCTCTGGAATGACCAGTGATGTTGAATGTTTTTTCATGTATTTATTTGCTGTTTGTACTTCTTTATCTGAAAAGTATCTATTCATTTCAGATGCTCATTTTTGTTTGTTTGTTTTTGTTTTTGGTACTGGATCAAACTCCAGACCTTGCACTTACAAGGCAGGTGCCAGAACCACTGAGCTAAATCCCCGGCCCCAGATGCTCATTTTTGGAATAGGTCTTTAAATCTGGGGAGGGTGGGGGGTCTGATTTTTTTTTTAGTTCTTTATATATTCTAGATATTAGTTCTTTGAGGAATAGCTAGTAAGAATTTTTTCCCATTCTTTGGGTTGTCTCTTCACTCTGTTGGTAGTTTCCTTTACTGTGCAAAGTTTTTTCTTAAGTAATGAATTAGCTCATTGTTTGGGGTTATGTTAACTTAATTAACTTATGTTGAAGCTAGGTGTGGCACACACCTATAGTCCCAGCACTCTGAGAGGCTGAAGCAGGAGGATTGCTAGCTCAAGCACAGTTTAGGCAGTTGAGTGACTTAGCAAGACCTTGTCTCAAAAAAAAAAAATTATTTAAAGGCTGGAGATGTAGCTCAATGAAGTCTTAATAATTCAATGAAGTATTAGCATACTAATTTTAGTGTTGCTTTTTTTAAACCACATTCAAGAACTAAACTTACAGATTATTTATATATGCTATAATTTAATCTTTTTTCTTCTTTGTTTTTCCTTCCTTCCTTTTTTTCCCCTAGTACTGGGGCTTTGAACCCCAGGCTTTCACACTGATGTACATTCCCAGATCTTTCCATTTTTTGTTTTGAGACTTTTAACGATGCCATTTAGTCTTTGTATTACAACCATTTACAATACTTTAAAAAGAAAATATGGCTGGGTGCGGTGGCACATGCTTGTAATTCCAGCATTCAGGAGACTGAGGCAGAAGGATCACTGCAAATCAAGGCCAGCCTGGGATACATAATGAGTTCAAGGGCAGCCTGAATACATAGAGAGACCCTGTTTCAATAAAAATAAATAGGGGCCGGGGATTTAGCTCAGTGGTTTGGCCGCCTGCTGTGCAAGCACAAGGACCTGAGTTCAATCCCCGGTACAAAAAAAAAAACAACCTCAAATAAAAATAAATAAAGAAAAAAGAAATATATTCCTTTTAAAGTATTTCTAGCCTCAGTTACAGCAAAAATCATAGAAGTTCAATCTTTATAAAAAAAAATGATGTTCTAAATTAAAGCCCTTATTGTTATTACTGCTTTCCATAAGTAATATGGAATGACAAGGTTTCTGTTGATGGCATCCATTTCCATTTACTTGAATGCATTTTTAAATCTTTGGTTTAATCTTTTCTTCTCTGAGCTTCTTTACCTAGGAAGACAATTGTTTTTGGTACCGGGGATTGAACTCGGGAACTTGCGCTTTTGAGGCAGGCAGCAGCACCACTGAGGTAAATCCCTGGCCCTAGAGGACAATTTTTAACCACTGTCCCTTACCACCATCATTACTAAATAGTATCACTTCATCTAAGACTTAGGACTTCGATTTCAATTATTATCAGCTACTCCAAAGCAGATTAAAACTGTGGCTTCCATTTATCAGAGGAAATGATTAAGATTACAAAGTAAAGGCTAGAAATGTAGCTCAGTGATAGTGTGCTTGCCTGGCATACACAAAGCCCTCAGCATCACAAAAAGAATGAATAAATGAATGGTTACAAAATAGGATATAGACAATAGGAAGAGAAGACTCAGGAGGAATCCAGGTTGTCAAGCCTCACAATATGAGGATCAATTTAAGACACCAGTAGTGGGCTCCTCTTGTCTCCTGAAGTTCGTACTTCCTCACCTTAACTCTGTCCTCCCCGAAACCTGTTTCTTTTCAATAAGTCTTGTCCAGTTTTAGAAGTTTGGGCATAGTTGTAGCAGTTTTCTAACTTGAGCTGCCCAATCCTGTGAACTCTGTTAACCTTCTTTCTTTACTTGTTGGCAGGGGCTTTGTACATGACAGCCGGCATAACCTGCAGCTGAGGGGCTTGGTGGTGCTGCTTATCTCCAAAGCGGCTGGGACCAGCAGCATGGACACTTCATGTCAGAACTATGATGTGGTCAGTGGAATCTACTCATGGTAAGAAGAAACTCTTTAGTTCTTTATCATTCTCTAATTCAATGATACGTTAAAATATATTGGCAATTTTTGAAAATAGACTTTTCCTTTTTCTTTTTTTTTTTTTCCAGACCACTATTTGTTCAATGATGGTTTGGGGGATCTTTCTGAAACAAATCACATCCTCTGGTGTCTTGTTGGTACTTGAGATGTTTTTTTAAGTTATATCAAAAAATGTTTAAGTGCTTTTCAGTTTTGTTTCGGTTGAGTTCTACTGTATTTTAATATTATTGTAGGTTTTTTTCTCTTGTATTGTTCTTCTTTGAATGGTTTTAATTTCTGTATGTGTGTGTGTTTGATAATAAAGTTATTTTTTTAAAAATTTTTCCTTTTTCTAATAAGTCTCTGCATCCTCTGATAAATTGCCCCACACATCTGTATCAAATACTTTTATTTCTACTTGAGCAAGGGACCAAGAGTTGGAAGGAACAGGGAGAGAAGGGCGGGGTAGGAGATGAAGAAAAAAGAATTATGATGTATTATGTACATGTACCAACTCTCCATAATAAATGTGATCATTATGTACTACAAATATGTACTGATAAACAAAATTCATAAGTACATAAATATGTATTACTCATTTTTGCTCCATATGAAATGAACTTAAAGTTTTCAGTTTTATTTGTTGTGAATCACTGCATATATTTTAGTAACAGTATATCAGGAATAATTTTATTTAGTCCTAGCAGTATGGCACTGGATAGAAGTAACAACCTACAGGTGGACTTTGGCATGTGAAATTAAAACCACCCTAAAAACATGATGACAAGGGAGTTTTCCTCATAAAAAGAAGGATTTCTAGAAACTTTGACTTATGGCTAATCAACTTTATTGATTTACTTGAAATAATCTATATTTTTAATTTTTCTTTTTTTATTCTTTTTTTTTTTGGTACTGGGGATTGAACTCGGGACCTTGCACTTGCGAGGCAGGCGCCATAACCACTGAGCTAAATCCCTGGCCCTTCTTTTTTATTCTTAGTAATGTTATCAATACATATTTGTTTTTCCTGTAATATTTAAAGATGACTCTTGCTTGCCAGCTACAGTCTAGCGATCCTTCCTCATTAACAAGTAGGCAAAGCCGGGGATTTAGCTCAGTGTTTCCACTGCCTGCCTTGCAAGCACAAGGACCTGAGTTCGATCCCCGGTACCAAAAAAAAAAAGAAAACAAGTAAGCAAAGAAGGGGCTGGGGATTTAGCTCAGTGGTTTTGCCACCTGCCTGGCAAGCACAAGGTCACGAGTTCAATTCCCAGTACCAAAAAACAACAACAACCAAAAAAAACAAATAAGCAAAGAAGGTTACTGTCATGGCTACAGATAACCACCCCTCTAGCCCCTGTCATTTTGTAGACTTTTTAACCATTTAGCCATACAAGTATCTTCACCAGAAAGGCTATCCTGGGATCGTTTTCAGTTCCTACTCATCCTGTAATTTGTATTTGTTTTATACTTTTGGGTTACTGATCATTTTTTATGACAGTTACCTCATTTGACCCTTATAATGCCATAGGTGAGAGTTGTTATTTTACTCTTTAGAAAACAGATTCTAAAACCTTGAGACTTTCAGGGGATACAGCTAGTAAATGGGGAAATTTGAGGCTCTAACCTGGATCTCTTCTCCCTTTCAGATCTCATGTATTTTTTCATCTTTCTATCATCTTCCAAAGAATTTATTTCTCTTATAGATTTGACCAGCTATTAAATTAGTGTATCAAAACAATCTTCTTGTAAGAATGTCTTCAAAAACTTATAAATTGAAAGCAACTTGGAAAGTCTTCAATATGTATACATCTTTCCCCCAACTCTATTTGAATTAGAGCTCAAAACTTTACCATATACCGCTGCCTGCTCCACAAGCACAAGGACCCGAGTTCGATCCCCAGTACAAAAAAGGAAAAAAACTTTACCGTATAGATTTTGTAGGAAACTCTTGGTTAAGTTCAGTTGACATTACTAGAGAAAAATCTGGAATGAATGCTAGTACCCCATTAGTCCCTGGAAAGCAAGTGAACCTCACGTCATCTTATATCCCATGTATCTCTGTTTGCAGTTAGGAATTCCATTGATTTTTCAGCCTGCTGACTTTGACCCTGTCTTGTCAATCATCTGCATATAAATTTGGGCAGCTGGGATTTAGCTCGGTGGTTCCGCCACCTGCCTCGCAAGTGTAAGGTCCCGAGTTTGATCCCTGGTACCAAAAAAAAATAGAGAATTATAAATTTGGGTAGCTACACATACATAATGAATGCCAGCTGTATTTTATTTTAATAATCCTTGGAAAGTATTATTTGATATATAATCAGTGTTCAATATTTATTTGTTGCATAAGTGAATTATCCTAATTGTGCAGAAAACTATTGCTGAAGTTAAATTTGTCTTAAAATACTCTAGGTAAGAAGTATTGAGATTAATATCCTATTTTTATGCAGCCATTCTACAATTCAGGATTTATTATCTGTATGTACATGGTATATTATGATGTTATTTTATATTTCTAATTTCTTAACCTCTAAGAAATAATTGTGTTGCTTCTGATCCTTCCTGTAACATGTTTGGTATATGGTCATTGTAATGTGAGCAATCTGAGTAAAAGAACTTTGCAAGTAGGTATACATTATGAACATAAAACTTTCCAGATAACATAAGTGGGTTTTATATTCAAATGTGTAAAATCCACAAATACTTTTAGGGTATTATTCTGTCACATAGTTCAAGGCTATTTTCTATAATCCAACTTGATCTAATAGAAAGTCATTGGTGTGTTTGAGTGTTTTACACACTTGTTAATGTGAAAAAGTAATTTGTTACAGTACTTTGAGAAGCCATTAATTTCCCTACCCCAAAGTCATTTATTTGGCTCCTGCTTCCTTAATTGTTCAAGTGTAATTTTTGCTGGAGGCTTGTATCTAAAATGCTGCAGTGAATTTTTTAACATTTGAGAAAAATAGTGATTTGGGAACTTTATACTTCACCTCCATACTACTGGGATTTAGATTGTTGGTGTTTTTCTCTCATAAACCTGACTTTGATGCCAGTTGATGGAACCTAAGTAAATTACCTAAGGGACCAAAAATGAGTGAAGTGGTCTTATTTTGTTTGGCCTAAGGACATAGCTGGTGCTGTGGAAATGTCTAGTGAACTTATCGCATAAGGCAAAAGAGGCAGAATTTAGACCAAAATGCAACTTTAGGCCAACTGCACTTTGAAAAACAGACAGGAGAGCCATATTTATAAACATGGACTATAAATATCCACCATAGCCTTTTGCCAACAAGACTATGGCCTTAAGATCTATTCCATCAATCCATACTTTTAAAAAAGTGATTGTAGGGCCAGGGATTTAGCTCAGTGGTTTTGCCACTTGCTGCTCAAGTGCAAGGACCCGAGTTCAATCCCCAGTACCAAAAGAAAAAAAAAAAAAGTGATTGTAAAGCCAGTAAAAAAAAAAGTATTACTAAATTTATAAGTATCTCTACCCATAATTGATAAATTTGTACAACATCCCATTCTATTTATGATAGAATATTTTGGTGGATATATAAAAGATCATTATAATATGTAACAGACAATATTAAAAATACAGTCTTTTCCAATGAAACATGATTATTAAATTTAAAGAAATTCAGGTGAATGTTTTGACTAATGGTTCAGCTTTCTCAGTTGTTTTATAAGAACTGACTCAATTTAGTCTTATCTAATGATTACAAACTGAATATATTTTCCTATCCTTCATTCATTGAAATTTCCAAATGCCTGAACTGTAGCAGAAGAGACTGAAACAAATATACCAAACACATTTTCTTTTCTTCCTGAGTACATAGTTGGACTACTTTTCTCACCTTCCCTTGGAGTTAGCTGGGTCATATGACTGAGATCTAGTCAATTGAGTATGAGCAGAAATTGTATTTTCTACTTCCTAACCATAAAAATCTTGCATTTGTATTTCTCCTTAAGCAGTTGATCTTGAAGGTGGCCTATTCAAGATGAAAGATGCTTATATCCCTAAATCATTCTTGGAAGAGAGCCACCTGCCCATCAGGATCAACTACATCAATTTGATGTATGACAGAGAAAATCTGTTTGCCAAACCACTTAAATTTTAGGTTTAAGTCAGGCATGGTGGTGCACTTCTATAACCCCAACACTCTAGGAAGCTGAGGCAGAAGGATCACAAGTTTAAACCCAATCTGGGCAACTTAATGACTTGTCTCAATATAAAAAAGGGCTGGGGATATAGCTCATTGCAAAGGCCTTGAGTTCAATCCCTACTACAAAAGAGGGTTAATCTCTTAACAGCAGTAAGTGTTATCTTAATATACCTTTACTGTTTCTTTTAATGTTATTATATCACCCAGTTGCCCTGTCAATTTGGTAATCTGCTTATTCCCACTCTTTTACCCTTTTACTTCCCATACATAGTAAACCATCCACTCACAAGTGTTTCTAGGTCTCCTTTTCTTTCAGTGTATTTCCCCTCCCCAGTTCAGGTCTTTTGTTACTTCATGTGTTGACTTCAATGACAGCTATCTTTCTGGTCTCGCTGTCTTAAGATGCTCTTCCTTCTTATTTTACCTCTCAGGTCTTGCTTAATTGAACACCCTAAACTCCTGCTTTGATCACTTATTAAATAAATATTTATTAAGCACTTACTAGGTACCAGGCCCTGTGTATATTGCAGGTGATGTAAGCTGAACAGTGCATAGTATTTGCCCTCAACGACCTTAGCATCAATCCAAGGAATGTACAAGTTTTTCCAACACCTGTAATACAATGCTACAGAGTATAAACAGTTCTGTGGAGAAACTAAGGATGTTGAAAGGAGGAAAGGAGAAATAAAATTTTTAAATGAGGACCTTTTGGGCCTTATAAATAGGCCTACTGGTGAACTTTGAAGGTAACTAGGAGGCCAACAGTCATATTAAAGCAGGTGAGTGAGTGAAGCTTGGTTGTATTCTAGG